CCCCGCCTCCAGAAGCGTCAAAAATAGCGATGTTTAACCAGGGAAAGCAGAAGATTAGTTGTGTAAGATCTTTTTTAGCGAGGTCGTAGACAGGTTGGATCTTTGAGTGTAATTACCATGAATCGATACAGGTAGGTCGGAGTTATTTTTTTTTCTAAAAATATTCTCACTCAATTTGCGCAAACGTGTGCTGCGCGTTCATTTTGGAAATAACGTTCGTAACAGCCGTCTTCGAAGCGGACGGGGCGTAGCCCCACCGGGCCGACGACTTTGAGTGGGTAAAATCTCCTCGATGTCGACGATCGAAACGCGTATATTTTGGCCACACAGATTCATCCTTTAGAAAGAAGTATATAGAAATACCCGGTCTATGTGTATTATTCTTGTAGCTAACATCATTTAGCGCTTCGGCCACGCAATGTGTTCTCCCTCTCTTCATGATTTCTCCCTTCTCCGCCATAGTTGCTGACGTGTCAGCACAGTTTGCTACGTCACAGTTATCTGACATTATCGTTTTGCCGCGCATTAAATGGAGACATTTTTCCGCCACCAAATCGTAATTTCAATGCGCAATCACGAAGAACACATTAGGCGCTAAGGTCGATTATTTCAAATTTTAAATAGAACTATTAACCAGAAAACGCAAAAAGAAAAAAATCGTATCATAGGAACTTTAGAGTTTTTTCTCGCGTTCATGCGACATTCTGCTTAGCTTTGTCACTTTCATGTGCTGACATAAAATTTAAAGTATTTCACTGAGAGTGGATGAAGCGTTAACTTCTCTTGATTTCATGTATTTCAAAGGCACTGAACAACAGTGGTGGTTGAACAGTTATTGCTGTCTGTGCTGTTTTGTAGCATAACGCGGTTCCTAACATCATGAAAGGTTTGTGGAACTTATTTGTTTAAACTTGTAGTGTAATTAGTAAAAACTGATGTTTTTGTGTTTGTCTATTTGGGTGCTATTTGTTATGTTTATAAAAGCAGTGCAAGAATTTTTTGGACTTAAAGACTGATCTCGTGAAGGATTATGTCTTCAAGAAGTTATACAATTCATTTGAACGCTCCTTTCTTAATAAAGCAACATTTTAAAGGAAGTACGGGATCATCAATTTTCAGAATAATATTCCTTATTTGAGTGGACAAAAAAGCATTAAAAAACAGGGAGCGCTCGCTGTTAACATCTATCATAAACGTAAAGTCATCAAAGGTGTTATATGCATGGCGAACTCATTCAAAAAGATCTAGGAAGAGCTTACTTTACTGGATAATTCCCAATATTTTGATTTCGTGACCAAACGTTAAGGAGCATTCCGGGCTTTGAAAAAACTCAAGATCGAACGGAATTAGAACTTAATGACTGCAAATAAATGAAAATCGTATGTATGTGAATAAAAGTTTAGTTAGTATTCATAACTAGGAGGATCGCTTTCATATTCGTTTCTTCAACCGCAGTTCACATTTATATGATTTTCATATATTTGCAGTCATTTGTCCACCACTTGGAGGGTTTATTTAGAACCAACATAATGACCAGCTCCCACTTGACTTGTTCGCTCAGTTGGTAGAGTACTACACCGGTTCAAATCCCGTACGGGCCTGAATTTTTTTCCGGCCTTATTTTCATCACTTATTAAGTAGGGTTAGAATTTATTCAGTGTCAAACAACAAAGATATACTCAATTTTGCCAAATTTCATCGCCTTTTATCATTTGAAGTTTGTTTCTGCAGAGATATTCTGCCATCGTTCTGTCTATTACGATTGTACATTAGAGCGAGTAACTGTGTACGACTGAAACTTTGCTGGTTTCTCGCATACGAATCTTAAGTTTCTGCACCTTGTTGAACTTGTTATTTTACCACCCACCTGAGAGCTCCAAAGATTACGATGGCACGAAAGTGGCGAAGGTAATTCTAGGGAAGCACTCAACGCACTCCTAGCATGTTGGGATGTCAGCCCTGTACGTTATCATCATGGGATTCAACAGCAGAACACAACGCTACCACATTTGTAAACTAAGACAAGTCATGATAGCAGCCCTAGAAGATATTGCACGTGGGAACGCTGAGCCCTCTTGAATAAATTAGTGAAATCAAATGACGTCAAACAGACTGAGGACGAATTTGACCTAATACTCGTCGACATCTTAGCAGAATGTTGCGAGAATGCGAGCCACTGAAGCACACCAAGGCAAATTCTATCCATCACTGCTGACAAAGTCAGCTATCAAACGTCACAGAGTTGGATTCCTGGAATAACACGATATAGATGTAATGTAACTAGGCAACACGCTCCTATGTATGGACAGAGGATATTCTCTTGGTATGAAGGAGATGCTGAAGTTGAAAATCGTAGTGTGCTGAAAATGTATGTCTCGGTCTCACAGCTGGACCAGTAACTTAACTTTTCCACAAGTGAACACAGAGATGTAATAAACACTCATTTACAATCTGGCTGAGGTTAACCCGCTCCATCCACAGTAAAGACCTGGGGCCGACTCGCGCACCTGATGTCATATGGGTTTAGTTTTTATTACATGAGGATGCCTGTGGCAGACCTCGTTAAAAATCGCCGAGGGTCGTCATGGTCAGATAAAGAAATTAGTCACGCGCTGGTCATGAAACTGAGAATTGTCTCGTCGGACATTTGACATGCATGACGTCTTTATTTTCGAGCGAAAGGTAATCGGAAAAGTTCACGCGGACTTACAAACACAAAAATTACTTCCCTTTTTCGAATAACTGCGTTCTCAGAATGAATTTGCAGAAGGAAGCACTCAAGTTACCTAATCTAAGGCTTCCCTAAAAACGACTTTGTCAATCAAGAACGATCGAATAGCGATGGAAGTGAGAATATTACGCCTTTTGCCTTAATTTCCAGTTTTAACGGTAAGTAATATCAAGGTACCCCGGTAACTAAAACTGCTCTTGTTGAATGTGACCACATAACTTGATAAGCTATGAATGAACCCTTTATTTCACAAACGACAGCATCCTAAGAATTTAATTAACATTTTAATATTTTCTACACAAATAGCTAAACCATTTCTTTCCCAAGTTCTTTACAAAACTAATCAATAATAATAATGATAAAAAAGACTTTCTACCGTCGCATATCACGGCTTCAGCCCACATAAAAATCGTAATGAATAAGGCGTGCCAAATAAAAGACAAAAATTTGCTGTCTGGTCACAACGACACTCAGCTCGATTCAAATAACAAAGCAAAAAATGAGTTTACCAAATAGTGAAATTACATCAATGACGTTACAAAGCAGTCACTATAAAACTATATTCCAGCTGGTAAAATTAAAGAATCTAGAAAATGATATTGCACGTTTCAGATATAGATTGGATAGATGGATTGGGCCGTCGTTTTTCTCTCTGATTTAACAGATGAAATTAAAAGAAAAAATTGAGAAGTTGTTATTACTGGCTTTCCAATTCGAGAGCAGCAGAATCTTTGGCATTCTAGGTAGACGTTAGTCATGAGCAGCTTTGCTAGCTTACAAACTACATGCTCACCGTAATAAATGTATTTCTAGAGCCTTCTTGAAACCATTATCATTTCCTATTTTCCTGCTGATCGCTAAAGATAAGATAGACCACTGAAACACGCTAACTTCCGAAACCGTAAGCCACTGAAATTGTTACGCTGTTCGCAGAACCACATAAGAATACAGTCGAAAGCGAAAACTCAAACCATTTATTTACAGGGATTCCAACGATAATCCACAATGTTCGAACGGAGTAAACATCCAATTTGGACAGTAGAGTAGTTTTCTACAAACAGAAAATTACACCTTAGCGAGCGAAATTACAATGCACATGATATACGTTAAAACTTACCGACTGTTTCGAGTTTAGAGTGACCAACAACAACAACAATTTTAGGTAACAAAATATGCCAATACAAACACGACTAGTTCTGCTGCTGCGCAAATGGATTTGAAAGATTAATTTCCTCTTCAATGATAGAATAGGTAATATTACTTGTACAGAAAAAGTAAATGAATGAATTGATGACAATTAACTGATAACAACGTCAATTTGAGAGAAACGAATATGGCAATTTTCGGTAATATTGTATGTATAAGTCACTCTTCCTGTTGCCTTTGATGTTTCCACGAAAATAGCATTTTTTTGGAAGGATATTAATAATATTTTAGGTAACCTGTGGTTAAAAGTGTTCAAACCACAGATAACGTTTCCTTTGTTGTATTTCTGCGTTTTTTCTCCAACAGCAATAAGAATTTTTTTTAAATTAAAATTAAGAAGGTACCCCCAAGCCTTGCAAAATACATTCCACACCCTAAGCAGTGTCAGATCAGATACCTTAGGTTTTGCGTTTGTTTGCCAACGATGCTTGGATAATACAGGTTGAAAATAACAACCTTAACCGACAAAGCCATATCTAAATATCTATCGCAACAAACGGTTAAAATTAAAATAAATGGTTTTACTATAATAATATTTGAAATATTCATCAAATGTTTGTTTTATATATCAGACTTTTTGAAAGCATTCGCGCAGAACTGAAATAAGCCTCAGTCAAACAATGCAATAGCAGCACCATACATTCTTTCCTTTCAAAAAAACATTTAAGTGCGTCAAACTTTCATGAATAAGTCTAGAAACTTCTTTTCACCACATTTAATGATGGGAGAGATAAAATATTTCGGTTGATTTCCCTCAGGGCTTAGAGACACGCTGAATATCGAAGGGTCATTCTTGTACATGGTGCTAGCTATCCTTCCTTACAGGAAAGTTTCTTTGCTTTTCTAAAGTGTTCAGAGGAGTTAAATTGCGAAAAATAGCTTGGTTGGCTTATGTCAAACTTAGGACTATTAAGTAAGTTCGGAAAACTTTCAGTATCACTATCAGTCACTTTTCAATCGAATTTGTAATTATCATTCATATTCATATGGTCAAAAGACCGTGACATGCGATATTTTCCCGCCACAATTAAGCATCGTTAGTAAGATCCTTAATAAATTAACTGAACTGAGCGCAATCAATCATAAATGCAACGGTCGACTCTGGTGTGAGAGGTTACTGTTCCACTGTTCGCATTGCTACTTCACTGGGAAATCTTACAAAATGAAAGCAACTCTTCTGTTGTTCGTGTTATCAGTCTATATTCCAATTTGCATTGGGAGAAATGTTAAAGCCTTACACGCGTATGATTATGTACACAAACCTCGTATGTGTTAACTGTTGTACTTTTAAGTAGTTTAGTTTGTATTCTTGATTGCAAGCTTTCTTTATTCGGCTTGATATGTTTTCATAGCTTAAAATTACTGAATAATGTCTCATTGCAGGTCTGTCGATAAGAGGAAGCGAATTTTCGGACGAAGGTAATCATTGTTGGGAAGAATTCAATCTGAAATGCTTTATTTTCTAACCAGATATCAACAAAACAGTACTTGAAGCACCCGAGGTACCGTTGTTTTCGAAGCTTAATGTGGAATGGGCTTTCAGAGTTAATTGGTATTTTGTATTCTGTCACTTTCCCGCCAAGACAAATTTTGAGTGCTCCGGAAATTTTTAGACAAGTAAGGTTTTGTGTAATAAATAAGCTAAGACGTTTGAACAAAGAGTCCATGTAAATTTTCACAATTTCATCTCAAACTGATATTTTTGTCTTAATCATTTTAGGCTCTATTATTCATCATTAAATGAAGCGCGAAGTAAATTAATTATGCTTTGCCGTGTAAAGTCAGGCGATTGAACTAAAAAATCTAAGTTTAACTTCAATCTCAACCGTAGTAACTGCCTAACTTCTGGTCACGCGAATCACTTTTTTTCTAAAAAAAAATGCACCTTGCATAATCATTGTCACAGGACTTTCCCGCGCAAATTTACTTTAATATTTAATTAGCTCTCAAAATGACGACTTATTAGGCTAATTATAGCAATTTCGATCTTATAACAGAATGAGGTGAGAAAAGTCACGAAAATTTGCTTTTTAATTTGTAATAGGTTGTGAAGATTTGCCAAAGTGGAAGAATGATTGCCCAAAATGGGCAACTTACAAATATTGCAAATCGAAATTTATGCAGCATTACTGTAGAGGAACCTGCAAAGTTTGCGGCGAAACAGGTAAATTATATAATTACATGTCACAAAACATCTATCATTTTAAGTCAACGTAGCTTTCTACCAGTGGAAAAATTTTAAATGCAGATACGAACGAATCCGGAATCGCATTGGTTTTGTCCCTCTTCATTCTATCGATGGTTTAGCAAACTCGTAACACCTTCTCGAACAATCAAGTGCGAAGCTAAAAACAGTTGCGCCATGTTTACTCGCATTTCACCCCCCCCCCCCCCCTTCTCCCTACACGCAGTTTATTTGTTTTCACTTGACTCCTCACGATATTTCCCGCAATTCTTTTTAAATACACTCATCTTGATCGGATGAACTTCAGATAATCTAAAATATGTGCTCTTAATTTTGTTATATATCTACTTTTTCTGATCTTACAGTGCCGCCTCCAGGGCCCATCGAAAAAAAGCCACCAGCGCCTCCTGCAGGTAATTTTGTGCGAAGTGAATAAGGAAAAAAAGGATTAAAAATACTAGCTTTACATCGTAGTAACCATTATTGTTCCTCCTATTCGCTCTCCGAATAGAAGGAAGGATAATATTTCATCAGTCCATTTCGATGTTGATCATTTATTAGAAATGAATTCAGTTTTGTTTTAAATCGTAGCTAGATATAATCGCCTTTGATGAAAAGGCACTAGGAAATTAGAGAAAACACAAACGCTGTTATGAATAAAGCTGAACCAGAAGTTTCCAAAGTTATTTTTCAAAATTGTTGAAAAACATGTATGGTATAAAAGTGCAAATTGATCCAGTTAGCTTCCTTGAAAAATGCGCTTTTTCGAATGGTGGCGCAAATTCGAGGTTTTGTAGCACTTCAGAGTTAGACTTCTGCTGTAGAATGGAAACCAAGTCGGTGTGGAGAAAATAATGCAAAAGGATAATTGCACAAGTTTTAGATTATCATCTCTTACAACCAGTAGAGCTGATTAAGTTACTAGTGAATCTGATATTTTTTTGTATTGTTCACATATTAGCTTTCTGTCAAGACTATGACAAAAGGTGTGGATTCTTTAAGAGAGTTGGACTGTGCGAAAATCCTGAACAAAGGGAACACATGGCAATTTACTGTGGAGTGACTTGTGAAATGTGTAAGCAAAAGCCTGTTGCTGTTTAAAGATAAACTGCAGCGTAGAACTTACCAAAAGGTTTTTGGATATGAGGTGACAACATAAAGCATAGGATGACAATTTTACTCTCTATTTTCCAAACACCGCTGTAGCACGACAAGGATAAAAGTTGTCGTAAATCCTTTTTACTGGCTGTTATTATTATTGAATGTTACCAAGAAAAACGGGACTAACCAAAAAAAAAAAAAAAAAAATAAAAAATGAATATGTTCAGAATCAAACGATTTGTACCCTTCATAGTACATTATACGCATACAATATACTATTTGCAATAATAATTTATGACATCGTTGACCAAGGTCAGATAACCAAGCAATCATTAAACTAACAGAAAAATGAAACACCACAAAACAGAAACCTAACAAACCTAACGAAGCGTAACAGTTTTAGTAAATCTTAACTGAAAAAGAAATCTAAGAGAATCATTTGTTTTTTTTTTTTTTTTTTGCATTTGTTTTCAGGCCAGGCACCCACCCCAGAGGGTAAGTCAAAGAACAGTCTGTAACATTTATGATAATGCGCACCAGTTAACTTCGATAAAAAGAACTTTAAGACCTTATCTGTTTTCCACTTTCTCCTGAAGCAAAGGAGAAACTCGAATGATATGAATTCTCCTGATTTTCTTGAAAAAAAAATCTGGGTAGAGTAACAAAGAACTCCATTTTAAGAAATCACTGTCGAATCAGTGATATAACCATAAAATTGAAAGTTTCCTTTTGCATCAATTTACAGTATCTACTAGACTGATTATATATAAGCTTGCACTATTTAGTGGCTGGTTTCTTTTTCCCTTTTTTTGACAGAATGTTACGACAAATTTGATCATTGTAAAGAATTGAAGGAAGCCGGAGACTGTTCCTCTTCTGACCCCAAAAAGGTTTATGAAGTGAAAACAAATTGTCTGGTTACGTGCGAGTTCTGTGGTAAGAGATCATGGGAAAAAATGTTTATAGTATGATAACTGACGCGTCCGCCAAATTGAACAAATGTGTGTTCAGAAAGTTTTACTTTTAAAAACGTATAAGGAAACATTTTATAAGATGAGAATCTTTATTTAAGTGCCAAGGTATTTCAACTTGCAGGATTAATTGAGGGCACTGAAAAAGAATTTAAGATGAAGTGAATATTTTAATTTTATAATTAATATAATTTTAATCGAGATTATGGAAATACCTTTGATGCTTTTTGCGTTTAAACCTTAAGAACTGTGTAACATTTACGTAAAAATCAGCAGATGTGGGGTAGTGGGAAATATACAGCGATATGCCGTTATGCTTTTCTCATTTATTCTTGTTTTTTCTTTCCTCACCTAGCTCCTGACTCAGCTCCTTAGCCTCTGAGCTACAGTTCAAACTCTGAAGAAAAGACGGCCAGTTTGACCTCTTTCAAAACACAGTTACCCGCTGCCTGAAGTAATGTAAACAGCTGAAATGGGCTGTTAACTAAAAAAACCTATACGTAAGCTTATCTTCAGTTAATGCTAAATTTTTGCTTTTTGAAAACTTAAAATTTTAATACATTTACCGTCAAAGCTGAAAATACAATAAAATACTAGTAAGGTTTATTTCCAGCTATATGGGTTGGCCCTTCAATAAGCTGATGTAGAAAATTGATAGAATACTTGACCAATGGTGATTTTGCAGATGGATTCGACCAGTCCAAATCTGGGAGATTGAAGTCTTTATGCAACAACTGGATTCGGGTGGATAAAAGCGATGAATTTAGCTGGAGAAGAACGTCAGGTGCCGAATTTGGAGGGCGAAAGGTGTAGAGAAGGACGGACTTGGTATAATAAGTTCGATCACAAGTTCAGTAATTCCGATTCGAGTTAGCGTGACGAGTTGATCTAATATTGTCCTTTACAGCAACTAGGATGATGTTGTCATTCAACCAAGTTTCACACACGCAGACCACGTCGGTTGGAACTGCTAAGCACAAGTTGTTGTTCTGGATCTTGCATATACTTGGGTGTTAGTCAAGCCCGTTGGAAAATGTTACTAATCTCCCTGCGTGGGCAGTTCTTTTAGATGTCACGCAACGCTCCTCCAATTACGCGATAAACCAACGAACGGCTGAGGAGTCGAACTCAGCTCAGGTGCTATTTAGCTTTCCCGCGCGGGGCGCCTCGCCCTAAAAAGCACTACCTTGCATAATTTACTGCCTCAATATTCTTCCGCTCAAATTGATTTGAATGAATAATTTCTTGTTCAAGGATTGTATCGTTAATATCAATTGTAGATGACCCGTGTGAGAAATTGATTTAAGTAGGCAAGGGCTCTTCTTTGAGAAAAGTAAATAAAGTATTTAATAATAGTTACCTGCATGTGGGAGAGACAAATGAAAAGGTTCGGTAGCAAAGTACATTTGAATAAGTTGCTCTTCCTGTTGCCTTTCGTGTTTCAGCGAAATCCTACATGTTTTCTAGCAGAATATTACTAGCAAGTTGGGTAACCTGTGACAAAAGGTATTCAAAATTCAATTTTTTTGGCAAATAGAATCAATGAGAAAGCTTCTTAAATTACTATTTGTGTTGTTCTTACAAAATGCACCTTACACTTCAGCAATGTCAGATCAGTTGCCTTGGGTAAAGCGTTGTATGCCAAGGATGTCAGTTGATATGGTTCAAAGTCGAATTTTCAACCGATAAATTCATGTCTTTCCCAAAAAACGTTGAAATTAAATTACTCGACTTCAATCCAATTCGCAATATTCATCACATTTTTGAAAGCGTTTACGTAGAACTGAAATAAAACTTATTCAAACACTTCATACCACTATTTTATATTTCCTCATTCATGCATTCTTTCCTCTTAATACATTTTACAATCAGTGCATCTAGCTATCATGAGTGAGTCTGCCACATTCGTTTCAATAAATTTGCTGTCTAGAAAATTATGTCAGTTGATGTTCCCTCGGGGCTTACAGACACTCTGAATATCGAAGACACACTGATTGTCCGTCATTCTTGAAAACAACGTAAGCTAACCATATTTTCCGCCAAAATCATGCATCGTTAGTTTTCCACGCCTTCCAGCACACTAAGATTCTCAATAAATTAATATTTTCTGAGCGCGAACTCTCATAAGTGCAACCGTGTGGACTCTGATGCGAAAGACAGCTGTTCTACTATCCACATCGCTGCCTCGTTGAAAAATCTAACCAAAATGAAAGGAATAATTTTTGCTTTTGTGTTTTCTGTCAACATTCCAATTTGCATTGGGAGAAATGTTCAGGCCTTGCACGCGTATGATCATGTACACAAACCTGGTAAGTGTTAACAGTTATGTCCTGAGGTCGTTTTATTTTATCATTGTTTACAAGCTTTAAATAATTTGTCCATGCTTAGCGTGCGCATATCGAAATATGGATGCACGAGCCCGAGAGAAGCGTAATAGTCGCCGAGGCGCAGCCAAGAGCAACTCTGGCTTGTCGAGTGCTCTCTAAACTTCCCGCGTACATCCATAACTCGATAGACGCACAGCTAAAGCATGAAATAATTCTGCTATAACATACTGGTAAATTTACCCTGTTTGAATTCTTCTTTTACTAGAATTTACGATCAGAAAAGCTTTTGTTGAAAATTCTGAAAATTATACGATTTCAAAATATTGAACAACACTTTTAAGACATATCGACACTTCAAAATAATATTTGCCGTTTAATGAAGACTACCTAACGTCGCAAAACCTTAGTTATTGTCAGAAAGCTTAACTTTGTTTTCAGCCATAATTCGCGTCGCGTTTGAGAGTGAAGTTTCGTCTACACCAAAACTAATTTCGTCGCTTGAAAGAACTACATGCTCATTGTTTTTCGAAATGACCATTACTTAGCATGTTTATTTTCATTTTGAGCTTTAAAGGTCTATCTCAATCGGAATAGAGCGGGAAAAAATCTTGAAAGTTTTAAAACCTCGCGGCTAAACTCGACGGGAATTGAAAGAGGAATTGAAAACCGTCATTTAAATACGCCTCAGTAAAATGGTTTTTGCATGGCCTCTTCATTGCGCGCGTACTATTTGAATTATTTTCTAATATGTTTTGACAGCTTAGAATTACTCTTATGTCTCATTGCAGGTCTTTCAAGCAGAGAACTCAAATTGGCGGACGAAGGTAAAACTGCGACGCCGACAAAATCTGGATCGGATTACGGATTGAAAAAAAAAGAGTTTTGAAAAATGAAAAAGAAATAAAATAGTTTACAAAGTAATAATGCAAAATATAAGAGTAAAAAAATAAAAGACCTAAAATATGTTAATTAAAGTTAGAAATGTTGTGTGACAGGCCAAAATAAAGTCTGCGTGACAGGCAGCAGGCCCCAGTAGCAGTTTTTTTGCCCCAAAACCTCACGTAGTCACTTTAACGGCTGTGTCGAGTAATGCCGCCATGGACGAAGGCAAGCAAGAGGTACGTATCATTTTATCAGCTGGTTATTGTTTCTCTTTTTTTTTAATATCATCAAGGTGCAAGACTGTTTTAGATATAACTGATAAAGTGCACTTAAGCGATTCATGTAGTTCATTATGTCCCGCACACTATATTTTGGCTTTTGCAACATTTCTAATTTCAATCAACCTAGTTTGGCTTTTTTACTCTTCTTTTCTAATTATTATGATTTTATAAACGATTTGAATTTTTCATTTTTCAAAACTTTTTGTTTTGATCCGTAATCCAATCCGTGCTCCGATCCGGTCCGATTCAGATTTTGTCGACGCCGGTAAAATTATTAGATAGAATGCAATGGGAGAGTTTCCTATTGTAACTAGATATCATTAAGCCCTTATTAAAGAGAATATTACTTTCTTTTCAAAGCCTTTGATCTCTGCCTTCGATTGAACCATAGTTTTTGCAATCATTCACGTCAATTACAACATATTGCCCCCAATGTTTCTCAGTTGTGCCCTGCAAATAGGCAAGAACACGGTTATGATTCAAGAATATCCAATTGCTATCGACCATATAACTGCCGTACTAATCTTAAACAATTTACAATACTCTACCAAGGTCGTAAAATTTGGAATTCTCTCTCAATATCGATCACTGGTTTGACTAGCTTTTTCACTTTTAAAAGAAACATGATTGATTTTTGAATGAATTGAACGAATTGGCCAAGCTGCATATCCACATCCACATCCACAACTTAATTGCAAACATATTGACAACCGAGGTGGCCACCCCTGTATGTCTGGTGGTTTCTTGAAGGTCTCCTCGCCCTACCATACTGTTAAACCTGTATAAATATGATATCTCAAGTGGCTAATAAATAAATAATGATGATGACGATATCAGAGCACAAAGAAAACTTACATAACGCAACTTAAAGTCGAACACACTTCAAATCTGTTAATGATTCGATAAAATCTCATTTACCATGGGCCTTCCTCATAGTGCTTGTGCTTTGCTTACCCATGGGATACTGGCTTTCAAGCCGATTTTGGGCGACTGATTTGCTCCTAAGAAGGCGAGAGTTTGCTTGCGCAAATGTAACAAAATTAGAATTCATTTATGGAATACTACATCCAATCAATCATCATTACAATCATCAATTATTTTCGCCAGGACCGCGCGATTGGTTTAAACACGTCATGTGACCGAGGATAGTCCTAAACCTTGCCTTTCACGCGAGCGCTCCATAATTATTTAGTTGATAATCAACACGAAAGCCTTCAGTTTGTTTTGGGATTATGCTCGTGTATTCATCCTCGCCGGTAAATCTGTTTCTCGAAGGTCACAGGTTTTACCTAGATTGCTTCTTGGAAAACTCTTCGTTTATCGGACACAGTTAAAGTCCACGGAAAAATATTGCTGCTACTGTTTATTGATTAAAGAATTATGTACGTGAAACAAAAAAACAAAAGTCCTCTAAAAGAACGTGTAGTCACCGGTAAAATCTTCTTTTCCCTTGTAATGTGGTACATGATAGGACAAAATCAATTGTTTTTTCAATTCTGATTTGTAAACTAAGGTAAAGTCGACTAAGAGAATTCTAATGGATTTCGATGCGTATGCGGTCTCACTCTGGTGAGATCTAGAATGATGGTAACCACCCAACCCCATAGAAAACTAAACGCGTTCCACAGGCAGTCGATGCCTGTGATAATATCCTGTGTGTATCAAATTTTCGAATGCAAATGTGCCCACAGTTAGAGGCCGCGATCCAAATCTAACCCCAACTGACCAAGCCAAATTCGATTGTTTACCATTAACACATCACGTTTTGTCTCACAATTGCTTGTAACGCAGTGATAATTGTGTACATGATTTTCTCCTGCTTTCAACTGGAAACAAATCTCTCCATCTCATGCCTCGAAACGTTCAAATTTTTATAATCAGAATTTTTTTAGTGGGCGAAATAAAATATTTGCTGCAGTGAGTTCCTTTACTAATGCACTTAGCGGCCAATGTTTACATAAAATCCAATCAAATTAAATAAAACAGCCAAAGGATTTTAATTAAAACTCTTCTCACGGCTCATGTTTCAAATCAAATCGTAAACAATCGTCGAGTTGCTGATTGCTTCACAGAAAATCACGAGAAATCACTTGTTTATTTACAACATGAAGGCAATGTGATCACTGGTTAGCCAGCAACCACAACAATAAGCCAGTAAGAATGAAAAGGCATCATCGGCTAGTTATCATTTCATAGCTAGAGCGCCGATCAATAGCAAAAAAAGAAAAAAAATAGATAAATAATAATTAAAAAAAATAATAAAAAATAAGAATTCTGCTTGTTTGATTTTCAACCCACTCAGAGCAACTCTTTCAATACGAGTGCGAGCGTTTTAGCAGGGTTTCCAAACACGTGAAAACAGATGAACGCTTTTATTGTTCTCAAGTGCTCGCAATCTCTGATGAAACACGATGCACGAGTTTTTTGAAATTGCTTCTTAATTGGGCCTCGGGAATAAAGTATTCACGAGTTTTTTTTCACATTTTGTCGGCAAGTTTCTTTTAAGCATTCAAATCGTGTTACTGATATTCAAATTAAGAAATCTGATGCTTTATCTAAAGGATTGCTTTTAGACAAAACTCATGACTAACGCCTCATTCTGAAACAATAATGGTGCTCACTCAAATTAAAAATAATCCCATGGCAAAAAATTTTGTAACGACATTCGGCGATATTATGTTTTATTCATTTATATTCTCATTTGGCCAAAAAAAATTCACCAAGCAAGTTTCAGTTATCAAGTCTTTCGTGGAAAATGAATATGATACAATGATCACCGCAATGCTAAAATCACATTGCAGATGATGTCAGTTCTGCTACGTGACAACGAAACCAGTTAAAGTAAAGTCACATTGAAACACTTAATTGCTATACAACGTTAAGTTCAATATCATTTCCTTAAAATGTTTACTTAGTTAGGTAAATTTTGATGCCAAAAGCTGATGTGAGGACATTCATTTCGAGTCGATGCTGCTGAAGCTGCCATGAAAGCCTTTCCCTTATTTTCAGTGTTTTTCGTCGGTCTTTCATGTAATTATCGTGGTTGTGGAGGTAAGATGCATCTTTTTTATATCATCGAACTTCTTTTCAGTTGACTATTTTTTCTGAGACCTTCTTGCTTGAAACGAGTTTTCTTCTGAGTCACCTGCATGTACAGGTCTGTTAACACCTCTCGATCGCTTTCTTCGAAACTTTTAATTGTACTTTTGGCTTACAAAAGAAACCAAGTTTTTGTCATTCTCTTCATGCACAACACAGACGTGGGTGATTTTATTTGCTTCAGTTGCCTCATTTTTTTCCCATGAAATCAGTTTAATCTCAGGAGTCGGTTTCAAAAGCGTTAGTTTTAACAACTGTTGAAGGTTTTCTCTTGGGATGGTTTTAAGTTGCATAAAATCGAAAAAGCTGAAAACGATTTCCAACTTACTTGTCAGTTAAAAAAAAAAAATGGCATATTCTCGATGGCAATTTTGTTCCAAGGAATTTGTTTCCGATACAATGCGGGGTTAATTCTTTAATTGTTGTAGTAAAATAAAATACGAAGTCAATCATTCTACTCCTTCCTTCGTCATTGCCATCCTTGTGTTCTCTTTCCTTACTTAATGTAGAACCATTCATGAATGGTAATGGTCGAATTTTGCAGCATCATTTCCGACAGAACTAACAAATTACAAACAAACTGCACCGCCACAAACACCACATTTATTACTTCTGAAGAAATACATCTATATAAGGATGTTCGGTTAGCATATTTATCGTAAAGTAATTTCAAGCCAATGCTAAGTGGTAACCCTTCCTAAACAATCAAATAAATAGGTGAGTGTTCGTGGTGTTTACATTGTCATTTTATCCCAGTTGATCTGTCAGTTTGTAGTTCTTTCTCCTGCAACCTTTCAATACGTCGATACATTTTATGCTGATATTTATTAATTACGCGTCAAACTTTATTTGGCGACTGTAGAAAGTTTAAGAAAACCGGAACCAAAGCATCAACTTTTCCTCCACAGCAAGCAGATTTTTTACAAATTAAATTTGAATAAACAAATATAAATGTTGTCACCATTAAACCAAATTTCTAGTAAATATGGGTGTTTCATCAAAATCTGATATCAGTTGCAGTCGTTTTATTCGTAATCAATGCAAATTAAGTTAAATTAATTGTTTCAAACATCGAACTATTTTACAAAAGCACAGTTACTTAATTTGAGTTCCAGTGAAGATGTGTGGCCTCAACAAAGCAATAATTACACACTGCATGCGTAGCACAAAATTAGTTGCCTTGGTAATGGTGACCCCGCCAAAGATGATTGACTGGTAATTATCGATCCAATTTGACATGAACTCCTAAAGAGAAAATTCATATTTACAATTTACATAATCACTTAAGTCGTCCTAAAGCGACCATACTCTAATATTTTCATAATAATTATACTCCAGTTTCTATACTTTCCGACAACCTAGCAAGGAAATTCCAAATTCTTAACATTCTGATATTGAAATATAATAACAAAAAAAGCTAGAGTTGCTGAAGGCGCAAACTTCCAGGTTTCCTTTTGAGTGGACTTCTACAATTTTAGTATAGAAAAAATTCTAAGTTGAAATAGAAGGAAAAAAAAGACAACATAAAAAAGGTGCAAATAAAATTGTGAAAGCGCAAACTAGAATTGCATCTGTATCACACTCGCCCGCGCCCGATGTCTTTGTTCTTTACCTCATTTACTCCACTCCATAGATTTCAGTTGCATAACATTAATCTCCAAAGCTCGCCTTTGAGAAATCAGACAGTTGGAAAAAATTAAGTAGAGTATCGTGCTTCACTCAAATTGACAATATTTGAGACTTTCCGTCCAAATTTGTAGCTAACTTTAAAGTACATCCCGCAGAAAACCGTTTCGTGTGTTGATAGTCAACGTACAGTAATCCTTTGACACATTAAGAGGTGAGAGCAAGTTGAAGACAGTCAACATCGCCAGCATAAGTCACATTCATTCACAAGGTAACATTCTTCTCTATTTCAGGGAGACCAAGTGAAACGACCCAGTCACCTGTTGGTAAGTGTGTGTTTTCCCTGTCAATAGAAAAAAAAATGACTACAAGAGAGCAATTAACACGTCAACCTTCTATTTCATTTCATTCTGCTTCTTCGCAAAAGACTCTGATACATCATAAAAATTTTTTCAAAATTACCTTCTCTAGAATTGTAAGATGGAAGAAATAGAACCAATCTAAATTTACTTCACTTTACGTGCTTTTCCTATCAGTTTCAAGGATCCTTTAAATGTGGAAGGAGGACGCATTTTTCTTGATTTGGTTATTCCTATGAATTATTTAATTGTCACGATCCTCATTATACCCAACAATAAATCGGTGGCTCATTGTTTATTGACAGTGTGTGAAGATGATCCAAACTATGCAGATGGCTGCCCTCGGAAAGCTGCCGTTACAAACTATTGCACAGAACAAGAGGAGTTTATGAGGAGGCATTGCGCAAAGTCGTGCAAATTTTGTTCGGAGGCGTGTAAGTTAAAGGTGTTTTTGTTTCATCAGCTGATATTGTAAATTGTTCATTTGAATTTAGGATAATAAAAGGATTTAATAGAAGAAAAATGTACGCCAATTTTATCAACGTTTTACAAGAGATTAAACTTTTGCGTTTTAGTGAAGTATACACACTGAAGGTTCAATTGTTATCGGGTTGCTACCCTTGTTAAATATTTCAAGTAATTAAAATCCCCTGATCTGTAATTGACGTGGGCGCGATGTTTTTCTCTTTATTGACATTTAAGTTATTTTTTTCCAGCGACTGCACAACCCACAACTGGTAAGTTGGCCAATTAAATTGCAAAATTGCGAAATTTTATTCGCGGTTGTTAAGGATAGGTGCTATTTTTATACTCTAATGTTTTCGCCTGTCAGGTCATAAAGCCTGAACAAGACAATGTTGAAGTTAATCTCCAAAATATAATTGTATTTGACTTGTATTTCCAGAAAGCTTTCCATTTCATTTACTGGATGCTAGCAAAAAGCAAGCAAGTATTAAACTTTAACTACCTCAAAACAAATTACTATCAGGTGATGATACCCAGTTAAAAAAAAATATAATTGTATTTGACTTGATGTCCAGAGAGTTTTCCATTTCACTTACTCGATGCTAGCAAAAAACAAGCGAGTACTGAACTTTAACTACTCAGTTAAACGAGAGTTGCATATAATAGAGTATGCGTGTATGTTATGGGTACAAGTTTCTATCGGGGACTTACAAGCAATCAATTGGATATTTGATGACAAAATTTTAAGAAAGAATCTTTATTTACTTTAGAGGCGATAAAGCCACCGGCACCAGCGGGTAAGTTGTTTTTGGCCGTTTTATATTTATTGTTTCAATAATAAGTGTTTACAGCGCTGTCCTTATTCCACGCGATATCAATTAATATTTGAACTCACTACATAACTAGCAAAATAACAAAATTTTTGTATAATCGATCACCATTATTATTTACATTAATTCCTTTTCAAAACGCAAATTGAATTTGCAATCATTTTTTAAAATATTTATCAACTCTCTAGTTTCAGTATTCAAACTGAACATGTTTCTCGTTATCGGCGAGCTCTAAAAGCGATTTATATTCGTCCGGATTGGGCGAAGTCGAGACAGATACAATTTACTCGATAGTTACTCTTCGTTTACGCTTATATTTCAGTTTGGCGATTAGCATAGGTCTTGTCGAGCCCCGTATTATTTCCATTTCTAGTATTTTGGCTTCTAGATTCAAAATAAGGCCTTATCTGAGCGTTTTATCGATCGATTGAGTCGCACAAAACCAACGTAAGCGAAACCATGAAGTTATTCTTTGTAAACATCAAAAAAAATTTTTTGCGCTTAAAGGTTCTTTGCCTTAAAAGTTTAAGCAGGTAATTTAGTGTTAATAACTGAGTTGAAAACGTAAATTGGCCTCCGTAAGGAGTTAAAATGCTGACGTTTCGAGTGTTAGCCCTTCGTCAGGAAGATATTCGATAAGGTTTCGTTTTGCAGACAGGCTCCATGATGAAAGGTCGGTAATATTGTTTTAGGATGTGTTTTTTCGATTCATTGACTTTAAATTGTTCCATTTTGTTTTATACAGCAACTACTGGACCCACTGGTAAGTTTATTCATCCTGACTTTTAAGTTAGATGGAGCGAATGGTCTTTATTTTGATCATTTCTTCCTCAACCAGGTTGGAATTTGTGAGATGCTGTCGGTATTTTTGAGGCCATGCTTTACAACTGCAATTTTTTTGTCTGGTTATTATTATCTACACATTTGTTATTATTGATATTCAGTTTCGGAGAGAATTTGATAATCATCTCTTTAATTCTGGAACGGTAAAACGCCATAAAAATGACCTTCACAGCTTGCCTTTTGAAACGTTTCTTCAAGAATGTAAAAATCCTTAGAATTTGTTTCGAATAGCTACCTTTTTCACTTTTTTGTTTTTAACAATTTTTATAGCATTATGCGGAAAAAGAGACAAATCCTCTCAGTCAGTATTGTACTTAACATCATACTAGTGATGATTAGTACTGATTGACAGACGATGTGAATTGATGAATTTGTGACTGTACGTTACTCACTTTTCTTTATGTTGTCGATGTTTCATTTCAGAGAAGCCACTTAAACCTGGAGAAATTGGTAAGGTCTCCACAAAACAACTGCCACTCTATTTGATTTATCCTTCAAACATTATCCACACCATCTTCATAACTAATCGCTAGGTTTATCCTTCACTGGTAATCATGAAATGACATATCATGTTTTCCATTTCCATTTTTTCCTTCCATTTCATTCGTAAAATGGCTACAAAAGCGAAGGAACATCTCAGAAAAAAATGGTAGATTTATCGTCCGGTCCATAAGGCGAACGTAAGGCTGCCTCAAAGCCCTCCCCTAAACTTTAAGGGGCTCTCTATGTTAATGTAATGTTTTGTACTTTACACGTCTTTAGAGTGGCTTGTTAATCTTTATAAAAGTAAGTGATTCAAATCAGCCAACTTTGCTATTTCATTAAGTTTTGTAGAAGAGTGCTGCAGTATTGACTGTCGAGAGTTCGAAAAAACTTTACATGGACGACTTCCACACGATGGTTTAAAACAGCTTTTTGATGTCGCAAACCTCCTTAATTATTGACAGAGGCATCTAACAACGAGCCAAAATCACTTGCTATCCTTCCCATACAAAATTATCATTGCAACCTTACTTGTGAGTGAAACAGAACTGTGTAAGCAAAACAGTCATAGAAAATCATTTGAGCTCTTTTTATATCACACCAATAAGGATGCGCAGACAATCCGCAGTTCAAAGACCCATGTGCAGACATTGCTTCGACACCAGGCTTATGTCAAGAGCAGGAAGACTTCACGAGAAAGAATTGCAAATCGTCATGTGGATGGTGTGGTAAGTAATTCCAATCATTTATATTCATCAGAACTCAACTTAATCTACTTTTTGGTTTGGTTTGGTAATATGTTTGATGTTTGTTCTTGCCGAAAGACGTTTGTTACCGGCTCCCTTTCTGGAGAGGTTGCGAGAAGAAGGTAATCGCGTGATCGAGTATTTGCTAAGAGAGGGTTGACCAGGTGTGTCAATAAAAGCCGCTACAAGCGAGCGGTATACCGCTGCCCATAAGACCTACTGAGCTCTTACTGTCGTCTGTTAAGTCTGCGTGCACGCTGTCGTATTTGGATTTTGCCTTACGCCTCCCATTCCTGACTCAGTTGCCTTTTACAACATAAGAAGCTGCTTATGGAAAACGCTATTGAAACTCCTGGAGTTGAACGCACAGAATGCTCGCCCAGTAGGCAGATTCCTGTTGCTTAGCTGTTGCCTACTTCATTTTGTTGCTTTCATGCGCAATGTGTCTCACAAATTACGTACAATCCACAACGGAATTAGTTTACAAAACATCCACCTCGCCACTTTTACGGAATCATTCAGAACGGACTTTAAATTGACTTGTGGTGAAAAGAAAAAGTCAAATAGAGTATCGTGCATCACTTGAATTGACAACATTTGAGACTTTCTGCTTAAATTTGTGGCTAACTTTAAAGTACATCCCACCGAAAATTGTTTCTTGTTTTGATAGTCAACATACAGTAATCCTTTGGCACATTAAGAGATGAGAGCAAGTTGAAGATAGTCAATATCGCCAGCATAGGTGACATTAAGGTAACATTCTTCTTTATTTCAGGGAGGGAGAGTGAAAAGCCCACGTCACCTGTTGGTAAGTGTGTGTTTTCCCTAACAATCGAAAAAATGACTTCAAGAGAACAATTAATAGGTGAACCTTTTAATTCATATTGTCTCTTCATAAAACTTTTTCTTAAAATTACCTTCTATAGAATTTGGAAGAAATAAAACCATTCTAAATTTACTTCGCTTTACGTAGTTTTCCTACCAGCTCCAAAGCTACTCAATTTTTTATGTATAGTTTGGTTATTCCTATGAATTATTAATTGATCGACATTATATCCTACGATAAATCAGCGGCTCGTTGTTTATTGACAGTGTGTGAAGATGATCCAAACTATGCAGATGGCTGCCCTCTGAAAGCTGCCGTTACAAACTATTGCAGAGACCAAGAGGAGTTTATGAGGAGGCATTGCGCAAAGTCGTGCAAATTTTGCAAGGGGGCATGTAAGTTGAAGATGTTTTTGTTTCATTAGTTAATAATGCAAATTGTGCTTCTGAATTTAAAATGAGAGAATAATTAAATATAAGGAACATGTACGCCAATTTTATCAATGTTTTACAAGAGATTATACTCTTGTGTTTTATTAAAGTATACAGACTGACGGTATCTCGGTCTATCTCCCCGGTAGATAGACCGAGATACCTTCAATGGCATTGTCATCGGGATTGCTACCCTCGTTAAATATTTCAAGGAATTAAAATCATATTTGAACAGGTCCCTGATCTGCTGGGATGACCTTCATGCCATGATTAATCGATGTAACTGACGTGGGTATGATGTTTGTCTCTTTATTTACATTTATGTTATTTTCCTTTCCAGCGACTGCACAACCCACAACTGGTAAGTTGGCCAATTAAATTGCAAAATTGCGAAATTTTATTCGCAGTTGTGAAAAATAGGTGCTATTTTTATACTCTAATGAAAAATACTCTAATACTCTAACCTGAACAAGACAATGTTGAAGTGAATCTCCAAAATATAATTGTATTTGACTTGATGTGCAGAGAGTTCTCCATTTCATTTACCTGATGCTAGCAAAATACAAGCAAGTATTGAACTTAAACTACCTCAAAACAAATTACTATCATGTGATGATACTCAGTTACACGAGCATTGCAGATAATAGAGCATGCGTATATGTTATGGATAAAACTTACAGTCAGTCAGTTTTACATTTAATGACCTAATTTTAATAACAAATCTCTATTTACTTCAGAGGCGATAAAGCCACCGGCACCAGTGGGTAAGTTTTTTTTGTCCGTTTTTATATTTTTTGCTTCAATAAGAAGCGTTTACAGCGCTGTCCTTATTTAACGCGATATCAATTAATATTTGAACTTACTACATAACCAACAAAATAATAATATTTTTTTATAAATTTCTTTTCAAAACGCAAATTGAATTTGCAATCATTTTTTGAAATATTTATCAACTCTCTAATTTCAGTGTTCAAACTGAACATGTTTCTAGTTGTCGGCGAGCTCTAACTTCTTAAGCGATTTATGTTCGTCCGGAATGGGCGAAGTCGAGTTTTGTGGGCTTACAGCTTCCGCTATTTGTTGCAGGTGCCATATTATTCGTCATTTCATTGATCTTCAATTTTTCTTTTTTCAGCTACTGCTCAACCCGCAATTGGTAACTAAGCATAGAATGTTTTCCTCATGCGAGGAAAAGTACGGGCAACTAAGTAAAAATCAATCTGGCGAGTAGTTCCTTCCCAATGAATCTCATTACATCACACTTATACATTGATTTACAGTTTGTGATGATGATCCAAACTACGCTGATCGCTGTCCTGAGAAAGCCGCCGTAATTAACTATTGCAATGACCAAAAGAAGTTTATGAGGAAACACTGCGCTAAGTCGTGCAACTTTTGCGGAGAGGCGTGTAAGTGTGAGGTGTAGTTTTTTAGTGATGAAAACAGATACAATTTACTCGATAGTTGTACTTTGTTTATGCGGACATTTCAGTTTGCGATTAGCGCAGGCTTTGTCGAGCCACGAATGAGCGGCGAGGAAAATGAGAGAAATTTCTAGTATTTTGGCTTCTAGTTTTCAAAATAAATCCTAAGACCTTATCTGAGCATCCTATCGATCGATTAAGTCGCCCAAAACCAACGTAAGGGAAACCATGAACTTGTTCTTTTTAACTACTAGAAGTTTGTTGCCTTAAAAGTTTAATAAGCCTTACTGTGAAAAAGAAGCAGTAGCAAAAACATAAACAAAGTTTGGATCGTTTAATGCGGCCATTTTGTCCATCTTGCATTTCCGCCCTGTTGTATACATTGTAATAGCTTGTAATACCGTGGCATATTTTGGGCATTCCGTCTCCCTAATATATTTATGGACATATTAGAGGAACTCAATGAAACAACAGTTTCCGTTGAGATCTGCATGAAGAGGTTTTGAGTTCATATGCACTGAAGAGGTCTGCATACTTGACCTGAAAAACCAACACAACATTTAGCTGTTATAAATTCTACGGCGACACGTTTGCCTCAGTGGAAAGAATTAAATTTTAAAGGAGTGTAAACCTCAGAAAACCTTCCGTGTGAAGAAACTGAGAAAGATATTTGATGGGGTTTCGTTTTGCAGACAGGCTCCATGATAAATGGTCGCTAGAATTGTTTCAGCATGTGTTTTTTCAATTCACTTACTTTAAATCGATCTTTTTTGTTTTGTACAGCAACTACTCGACCCACTGGTAAGTTTATTCATCCTGACTTTTAAGTTAAATGTAACGAATGTTATTTATTTTAATCAAAGATCTAAGATCTCCATCGATCAACTTTTAAGTTTCTTCCTGAACCAGGTTGGAAATTGTGAGATGCTGGCGGTATTTGTGAGGCCATGCTTTACAGTTGCAATTTTTCTGTCTGGTTGTTATTATCTACACATTTGTTATTGTTGATATTCAGTTTCAGAGAAAATTTGATCAATCATCTCATTAATTCTGGAACGGTAAAACGCCATAAAAATGACCTTCACAGCTTGCCTTTTGAAACGTTTCTTCAAGAATGTAAAACTCCTTAGATCTTGTTTTGAATAGCTACCTTTTTTCACTTTTTCTGTTTTTAACAATTTGTTTAGCTTTAGGCGAAACAAGAGATAAATCCTATCATTCAGTATTGTAATTAACATCACCATCGTGATGGTTAGTACTGATTGACAGACGATGTCGATGTTATCGATGGATTTTGGTGACTTTTGTGACTGTACGTTACTCACTTTTCTTTATGTTGATGATGTTTCATTTCAGAGAAGCCACCTAAACCTGGAGAAATTGGTAAGGTCTCCACAAAATAACTGCCACTTTATTTGATTTATTCTTCTTGCATTATCCACACTACCTTTGCGTCTAATCGCTGGGTTTATCATTCACTGGTAATCACGGAATGGCATATCGTGTTTTCATTTCCGATTTCTCTTGTGATTTCATTCGCAAAATAGGTGCGAAAGCGAAGGCACATTTCAGCATGAAAAGTTAGATTTACTGTTCCATGGAACCCTTCTTTAACTTTAAGGAGATCACCATGTTGATGTAATGTTTTTTACTTTACATGTCTTTACAGTGGCTGTTAATCTTTATGTAACGATTCAAATCAGTCAACCTTACTATTTCATTAAGTTTTGAAGAAGATTGCTGTCATATCGACTGTCGAGAGTTTGAAAAAAACTCACGTGGACGACGTCTCAACAATGGTTAAAATCAGTCTTTTCCTCGCATTGGTTTCCTGTCACCTTCCTTCTTCTACTTACGATTCTTGTTGCCGCAGTCCTCCACTCAATCTTCACGTGTTTCGCCATCATATGCTGGCCCCTTCTCCTTAAAACGTCTGCCAATCAGGCTTTGCAGATGTATTTTAACCAACCCTTAGTCTTCATCTATTACGAATAGAAAGATAATATGTGTTCCTTTTACTTTTTTTAAGTTGATTAAGCTAAAAATAGATGACGGAAGCAATTCAATTCGTCTTTAATTTTTGAGAGATGCAACTAAAAAAGTCAACATTTGATTTCTTTTTGTATCATACCAAAAAGAATGCGCAGACAATACACAGTTCAAAGACCAATGCGCGGACATTGCTTTGACACCAGGCCTTTGTCAAGAGCAGGAAGACTTCACGAGAAAGAATTGCAAATCGTCATGTGGATGGTGTGGTAAGTAAATCCAGTCATAATCAGAACTCGGCTAAAATAGCTTTTTGGTTCGGTTTGTTAAGATGCTTGATGTTAGTTCTTATCAAAAGGCGTTTGTTACTGGCTACATTTTTAGAAAAGTTTCGACAACAAGGTAGTCGGGTGATCGAGTATTTGCTAAGAGAGAGTTGACCAGGGGTCTCAAGAAAGGCCGCTACGAGCAGTCTACCGCCCCTTATAAGACTTAGCTCTTGCTGCCGTCTGTTAGGGTTCCGCCTTACGCCTTACGTTCCTGACATAGTCGTCTTTTACACCATAAGCAGCTGCTTATGAAAAACATTATTGAAACTCCTGGAGTTGACCGCACAGAGTACCCGCTCGGTAGCCAGATTCCTGTTGCTTAGCTGTTGCCAACTTCAATTTGCTGCGTTCATGGGCAATGTGTCTTACAACTTACGTACAATCCACAATGAAATTAGTTACAAAACATCCACCATGCCACTTTTACGGAAACGGAATTTAAATCGACCTCTTTCTTTGAAATAGAGGAGAAATGCTTTTTAATAATACGATGACAGTGCCAACATTGGCATCTGAGGAGAAATACTTAAACTGACAATCCCAGCCAAGGCCCCTCATTGCCCCTTGGATCACTGAATTAACTGCGTAAGTTCTAATGTTTCTGATATTGCTCGTCTTGTTTTCTTTGTTTTTGTTTTTTTAGGTTCACCAGCAACAAAGCCTCCTATTCAGGAAAGTATGTGCAACTTTACTTAAACAAGCATAGTAAACGAACACTGAGGAACAAACGCACGCACGAAAAGATATCCCCAGATACTCACATAACAGAACAATGAACATTGGTTGATCCTCCATTTAACAACTATTAAGAGAAGGCGTAACTTAAATAACGAGTTTTTTCCGCTTTTAAGTAATGGTCTAAGCGGGTAATGCTGATGGTTACGGGCCGAAAAATTTATCAATAACGGCACGCGAATAATCTGAGATGCAATCATGAAGAAGATTATAATGATGATAATGATAATAATGATTATCACGATAATTGTAATCATAATGATAATGATGTTAATAACACTTGTTTTGCTTCTAAATTTGTAATAGTCTGTGACGAGGATGCACCAAAGTGGAGACACAAATGCCCAATATGGGCCGCGATGGGGGAATGTGAAATTCGGAGGAAGTTTAAATTCTATGAACATTACTGCCCAAAGTCTTGCAAATTTCCATGCAAAAAAGGTATTTGTCTCTACATAACTGACGCAGAAACTATAATGTGAAGCAACATGGGTTTTCGTTCCACCTCTGTTTTCATCTCTAAATTTTTGGTCTGGTATAGTTTTCTAGTGCATTGGTTTTTCTTTACATAGGAGGGTACAGAAAGGTGTTTGACAGAAACTAAGACATTTCGGTTGCAAATATGACATTTTAATCTTACATTTAAGGTTGAGCTGGCAATGTGACCAAGAATAAATTCGCCTATTGATTTGATTGCACGTACAGCTGTAGATGGCCTCAAATTGAATATAACCTCTCCATCTTTGGCACCATTAGCTTAGCACTGTTGTAAAGGTTCCTTTTGGATGTCATACAGGATCGTAAGTTGCAAATTGACCGCCCATATCACGGTTGTACGTGTAGGATTTTTCAGAGGTGAAACTCCATGAAAATTACGCCGATTGTGATAAGAGTATAAAGAAAAACAGGATATCTGAATTTGTGATCCGGAAACGTTAAAGTTGAGAAGGGAAGAGTTCTTTGAGTGCTCATCAAATCTAAAGTTTTACATTTGTCTCCATACTTAACTTACAGAGCCAACTGTGAATCCCAACGCGACAAAGCCGCCTTCACCTCCAGGTTAAATCTATTTGCCATTTAGGTTAAAAATAATTTGTATTTATCATTAAAAAGTAAGCATAATTTTTAAAATGACAGGACAAGGTTACACACTGATCGTAAACAACATTTTTGTTAATTAATGAACAAAGATGTATTTTTCCGTCTCACCACGAGCGCGAGGCCAAGAAAAACATTTTGCGTCCTCATGAGAAATCGAACCTCAGACTTCAAATTCCTACCAAAGAAAAGAGCTGACCTTCGTCCACCAAAACATAAATGCATCTCGGCAGGCACAACAATATCAATTTCAAATCACAATCTGCAAGAACTAATTCATCTATAGTATACAGTATGCAGATAATTATCCATTGCAAAAAAAAAATTGATCATGCATATCACACTTTTTTTTTTTCCAATTTCAGCTTTCTGTCGCGACCGAGACAGAAATTGCGAGTGGTGGAAGTCATTTGGAATGTGTGAAAATCCCGGAAGAAATTCCTCCATGGCCGTTTACTGTGGAGTGACCTGCGGCTTTTGTAAGTATAAATGCAAACTGTTTCAGTAAGATTTTTTTCTTTTATAGCCATAAATAAAAGGTTAAAGGAAGAGGCCGTTAAGAGAAGTAGTCGTTGCCAAGAGGTAAAAAGGTGCTTTCTTTTGGAAGTAACACGTCAAATAATTAGGATGGATTATTAAAAAAAAACCCAAAATAATTGAAAAATGAATCGTTAACGTGTTCTGTTGCTCATGTATCTACTTCTTTAATTATAACTTAATTTGAGATGATATTTTGTTTTCCTTCCTTCAGGCAAAGCACCTACCCCAGAGGGTAAGATTAAACGGAACAATATCAGTATCTGGGCAAAGCCCACCTACCCCTCCCCTCCCCTAACCCAAAATTAACCCTAACTTGTTATCAATTGACTTTTGTTAAGTTAGGGGAAGGGCAGGTGGGCAGTTGCCCAGATACTGATATTGATCCGATTAAACACTGTTTGTCACATAAAGGATGAGGTCGAAATAGCCTTAAGAAGCTGATATTTTATGAAACAATCTTCCAGCTTATGGGGAGATTGCAATATTATTCTATTTTTCTTTTTAACGATAAAAAATTGCGATAAAAAAATTTCGTAAAAGCATATTAAAAATATGTCGACGACGTTTCGACGTTGGGCTAACGTTATTATCAAGTCAAAGAGCGAAAGATAAAAATTGTTTAAATACTAAAAAGATAATATGTAATGGAATGTTCTTTTAAACAAAGAGTTTTGCGCGAATGGAATCGGTCTGCGTGTTGAGACAAGGATTGGGCTGCTTGATGAAAGGCATCTCATAGACAAGACAGTAAAGTTTTCCTTGGCACTTTTTTAGAAAGTGGAATTGGCTTTCTTTGAGGAGGCTTGTATCCCCATGGGCTGTCGAAAAGTGCTTACCGATCGCAGAGTTTTTATGTTCAACAATACGTTGACGGAGGTGTCGAGCTGTAACGCCGACATAATCTGAATCACACAGATCACATGTAAAAGAGTAAACAACGCATTGTTGATTTACGATTGGAGGCTTGATTTCTCTGGGCTTGAGGTCTTGTTCCACGCTTTAAACCGTCTTCTTTCTCTTTCAGAATGTTATGACAAGGGAAACAATTGTCAGGAGTTGAAGAATGCCGGACTCTGTAGCTCCACTCGAGCTGATATGGAGTATGAAGTCAAGACAAACTGTTTGCAAACATGCGAGTTCTGTGGTAAGGGATTGTAAAAAGAAAAATTATTTATATTATAACATACTGTCGTTATGCTAAGGACAAAAACAAAACAGCCCTGGAATAAATGAAAATAATATTTTCCATTCATATTGTATCATAAAAAACGAATACTTTACAATTTTAACCATGAAAACCAGATTTAACAAAATCTCAGATTTTGAATAATGGAGTGAGGTCGAGTAGTGAGTTTGAGAGAGCTTGAGCCATCATGCAATTAAAAGAGCAACTACTAAGACTTTGTGCATGCATTAAAGGAGCCCCTCGTGTACTGCTGTAACCTTCAGGTGCGTTTGGCCAAACAGAAAAGGACCAAAAGTGTTCCATCAAAAACGGAATGGATCTTTTATCATATATACCCGTAGCTCTCTCGTTGTATCATTACTTATCGTTTTTGTTTCACCTTGTCTTGTTCAGTTCCTAATGGTGGTCCTTGAGGAGTGACGCAGATCCCAAAGAAACTCAGGAATTGTAAGCGTGTTTCATACACAACACGTTATTCCCTCCGCGCTGCAAAAGCTGTAGAATGTTAACATTTCAGAACTAGACGGTAGACTACGAAACGCTGCTGCAATAATGTAACGAAAAGCCACAATAAAATGCTGATAAAAAGACAAAAAAAGACCGTGAGATATGTGTCCAGCGTTGATTCATCGAGTTAAAAAAAAAGATAGGTCGGTGCTTGTGATGATGCATTAGCTATGATTCAATGTAAAAGAACAAAAAATTGAAACCCTTAGATTCCCTCTTTTATGAGTCAACATAAAGCAGCTGATTTTGGTCTTTTTTAGGGATTTTCTTCCACGAACCTCAGAGAAAAGAAGAAAAAAACTTTCTTTTTCGTTTTAGATGCATGTGAATCACCAGGAAACGTTCAACCGGTGATTTAGTGCTAAACCATTCCGGGATTCTATCTCTTTCGTAACTGATAATCAATTAAAAGACAAAACAAGAAACAAATAAAAACGAAGCAATATGAACTGAGACAACGCTGTCGAGCCATCAGAAGAGGCGTTGCGTTGTCCCTTTTTCCTTCTCTCAATATGTTTTTCCTAATTTTAAGAATAGTCTTAATAAACCTTTAAACGAGCGATGTTCACAAAATGTTTCACCTTATCTTTTTTTAAACTTTTACCTTTTGTAATCGAATTTCCAAGAATGATGATTGCTCAGCTACTCCCCTCAGTTATCAGAAATCTCTGTTGTTCATATTAAAAACAAAAAGCTTTGCGTTAATGAACTCATCCAACAGTTACACAGCCGCTTGTCTTAAAAGCCAAAGCAAACACTTTCCTTTAGTCATTCAATTATGTTTTTGACTCAGTATTTACGCACCACAGGTTATCTTTTCGCTTTTTTTTTTCACTTTCTTTGTATAATGTGGTTTCTTTTGAAAAAAATGCTCTTTTTTATTAAGAATTCTGTTCCTAAGTTGAGACCACCTGCTAATGTTTAAATTTTGACATAAGAGCCTTGTTCGACTGTCCTGAAAGTTCCACTGGCGTAACTGGAGGGTATTTCACAGGAAAAAATACCCAATTTAAGAATATGTTTGGCGACCTATCTATGACCGTGCATGATAGAATAGCTAGTTTGTGGCTTTAAAGATTTCCAGTTTAACTGACATAGAATATGTACAAGTTCGAACAGTTTGTAATCAAAGTATAGGCAAACATTTATAAGGCGAACAGCCTTTCCCAGAAAAACCACTCCACTAACTATTAGTACAATTATTCCATATCTTATCGTTTTCCTTTCTTTCTTTCTTTCTTTCCTTTTTTTCTTTATGATTTTTCTATCACGCTGCAAATTGTTTTAGGAGTTTACCTTAGAGACTTCGAGCATTATATAAAATCTGTAATTTCAGGTTACTCTTCAAATTTTATTTTTTTCTCCAAAATGCTTGTTGATTTACAAGGAGGATTACGTTGGGATTTGGGGTGTTTTTGTCCGTTGATTGTGTTAGTGTAAAATACAGGTGTTATCTAAGAAAATTTAATTCTTTTTTGCTTTATAAAAACAGACGTGTCAACCTTTAGTGATCACTCTGCAGGATTATCTCAATGAGTAAATCGAGCATTCTTGTTGAGTTCAGAAATTAACTCAAAGCAACTGCATTGATTAAATATTGACTTAGGACAGCTTACTTATTAAAGTCTTGATTGCCCAATAGCTGAAACTTTTGAGATCTAAAATTAACGATAGGAATTAAAGTCCCTGCTCGATCAGCTTCTGGACTCACAGCCATCATAACATTAATATAGAAACCGAAATATATAATAGCGGCTCTAGGTGTGCAAATTGAAAGTTCTAAAGAACTTAAAATTGTTGAAAGTAGGCAGTGTCAATCAGTTAGCTCTAAAACGTACTCGGTAATTTGATCATAGGTTATGTCAGCTGTATATACTTTAAGAATGATGTTATTAAGCTTGTTGTGACTTAAGTTATTTACAACTCGCTGAAGCTGACCAACACTTTAAGTCAACCCATTGTCTAGTGGCGTACTTCTGAAACGATTAATTAGTATTATTGAATAGTTTTTCCATTCTTCCACAATTTTGTCCAACAGCAGAGTTTTCTATATTTTCTCGGGAAAAGTTTCACGCTTGTACCTGACTTGTTGCCTAAAAGATTTGAAGACTTATAGTTGAAGTGAATCCTGGAAATTTATCGGTTAAAAACTCAGAAATATAACAGCAAATCGCAATTCATTCTCGAAAGCTATTGTTTACAGTGTTGCTCTTTTCGTCCATAATTGCTGATTTTTAAAATCTCTATCATTTTTTAAAAGAGATACCTTCTTCTTTTTAGTCAGCAGAGTAAGCAAAGTAAATAAGGAAATTCGTTTCCTCAGAGGTGCTACAGGATAGAAAAATTAAATCAAGCCTCAAAGACAAAGATGAAAGATTCAAAATACAGATCCATCGGCGTCTGTATACAAACACTGTCTAGAATGTATAGCTCAGACCAAGCTAAACACTTTTGATTGTATTTATCAATTAATCTCAGTCTTGGAACAGCTAAGCACAGATTGATAAAAGAGAAACTGTCTTTTCTTCTGTTTTAAATCAAAGATCATATCAATACATTTACGTTAATGCAGTTATGCTATAATGGCGATTTTTTTCTGTTTGGCCAGATAAGTGACTCGGTTCTGTGTTTCAATTTTTTAAGGGCTCCACATTTAAAGTGAACAGTTTCGTTTGTAGAGAAATTATTAAGCAAATAGTGCCTTTATTCATCATTTCTTTAGACCTTTTTACATTTCATTTTCCACGACAAGTATGTTGATTCACAGGTAGAAAGATGGAGTTGGGTTTTGTTGTCAGTTGATTGTGTTTGTATGGAATACAGATGCATGATAGAATTGAATTGATTGTCTTTACTACTTTATTGAAACAGGCGATTCAAATCCTAAACCTTCTTGAGCAGGGACAATTCCGAGAGCAGATCTTTTGTTCTTGTTTCAGTTCTGCACTTAATCAAAAGTAATCAATTTGATAAGGTATGGAGCAAGTCATTGGTCTAATAAAAGCTTTTACCATTTTGAATTGCGCAATAGGAAAAGCAACATTTTGAAATTGTTATCGGACGATGGTAATCTACGATCTTTGTTGCTTATACACGGCTGGAGATTATACGGCAAACGTTATCGATCAAGATTTAAAAGTACACTGATCAAAAGTATAATGGACATCAGCAGTTTTAATCCATATTATTCTTTTCATTTATTCAATGAATTTTATATTTGACCATGCATTATGTCGTCTGTATTAATTTTAAAAATGATTTTGATCAAGTTCATTTTGATTCAACCATGACTGATGTCTCTAATTGCTGATAAAGTGTTGAGCAACACATGATATTTATTCACTATCCAGTTGTACGCATCTTAAACGACTGTTGAAAAGCTTTTCTCTTCATCCGTAATTAATTAATTAATAAATTAATTAATGTAGCAGAATTTTTATGGAAATTGATGGCCACCAGCTGTGGATAGTCCCTTGGGTTAATTTTTTCTCCTTTATTGGATTTGCAGAATGGAGAATTTAAAATCTTAATGTCGAAGAAAAACTTGAAAATAAGATATGCGAAATGTTATAATAAAAACAAAAGACTCGACTATTTCCCATAGTCCCTACTTGTTTTTTTCTAATCACAGTCGTTAATTTTTAATGTCTAACTTTTTAAAATCGTTTTGTTGTTTATAGCAGTTAAGATAACATTAGATATTGAAAAATTTAAAAAGTAAGCAAGAGGACAAAATATGCTTGGAGGCGTTTGCAAATAACCTTTGACTTGAAATATAGCTTAACCCAAGCTTAATAACGTGTTATCTCAATTACCAATTTACGTAAAATGTGGAACGGCCATGCAAAACTAAACCAATCAAGAATTTTTTTTTTTTCAGTCTACATCAATGCTTTCAGATTAAATGCAATTATACCGAAAGTAGGAAATCCTTTTGTGGTTAGATGGACTTCAAGTGGCTTTTAGTTCTCACAAAAGTCGCATTAAACTAATGCTTTAACTTTTCAAGTTACGAACATCCCAAAAGCAAGCAAGGTTTGTTTTAGTTTCTCTTGTGGGCAGTAAAAATGTTTAAACACCATGGCAAAATTTGAGCAATCTTCCATTTGCCAATAAAAATGTTTGTTGATAAACAAAGTTGTGATTGGTATGTATGAGTATAAATAAATCCCTGAAGGGGAAACTTTTTGCAGTCATCTTTGATACAGAGAAGATGATTTTTCTGGTGTTACTGCTGTTGGGATTCACGGCTAAGGGTAAGAACATCCTTCAAACACAACTTTGTCCCTTAAGTTTTTTTTTTTTATTTCTTAATCTGGTGCAAGCTGTTTGGGTGAAGCTTCCTAAACTGTAACAACGTCTTCGAAGTTACTAAAACTTAGCGTATTATTTACAGCACTGCTCGAGGGAATTTCATCTCTTGGTTTCTGTTAATTATAATGAAAAAGAGTTATCACCATTTGCATGAAATCTTATGTACTTTTATTTTTTCTCCAGCACACGGTATTTCAAACGTTGACACACTTCAGTTTCACCCTCATCGTCACGTCTGAATTGTTTTTCTCGTTCTTTCAGCACTCGTTATTTTCTTTTTTTTTCGTTAAAAAGCCATGCTCCTTTCATCATTAGGTAATGTCCTCGTAAGTAGAATTAGGATGTTCAATCTTGAGCTCAGTCGTAAAACAAAGAGGGAATTTCTTCATATTTCGTGCGTGTGAGACCAACGACTTACTACTAAGTTACAGACCCATATACCAATTTCACATATCACATGCGTCCTGCAAATTATTCACATCAACACTATCGAAAGTTTCACTTATATTGATCTGCGAGTCGATCTTATTTAGGAGCTCTTATTTTTTCCTTTTCATACCCTTGTGACCATCAAAGAACAGTAGAATTAGGTCATCGATCCTGTGTCCAGCTATTTACTTCACTGGATGAGTCAGGTGCAGCTTGTTTGTGTGTTTTTCTTTGCAGGGCAGCAGCTGCCATGTGGCAGTACGCCTATTCCTCAGTCACGAGTTATAGGAGGACAAGATGCCAAACCTGGGGCTTGGCCATGGCAGGTAAGTCCAGTGGTGGCACGGATACGTCTTTGCTTTTCAGTGAATGCCTGATTTATTCTACTTGCTAGCATAGAAAAAAGGTCATAAAATTAAATGATTGATCTCCTAACACACGTCGCGACATTCGTATAAATACGTTCTGAAAATATTGAAGCCTTCCCACCTAAGCTTTGTACTCCTAAAGCAGAGAAACGTAAAACCGTTTTCATATCATCTTTCCTCTAACAGATAGCTCTGAAACGCAATGGAGGGTTTACCTGCGGAGGATCACTGATTTCTGATTCGTGGGTCATTACAGCCGCCCACTGCGTGGCAAGGAGTTCGTAAGTATCCACTTGCAGTTTTCATGAACATGTTACCGATAATTCAAAAATCCATATTCAGAGCTATTTACCTGGCTTGACTTGAGAGTAATGTTTTTTTCCTCTTCCATTTCTTTATGATTTAACATTACTACAAAATCCCAGAGTTAACACCTGATACACGTTCCTTACAATAGCAATTGGCTTGCATGTAGAATAGAAGTTCAATAGGATCGGAAGGTGTTTTTCTTACCCTCGTGAAAGTTTCACTTGCATCAAGCGAAATAACAACTAACACCAATGCATCTTTGTAATTTTCTTTGTTTTGTGTCATTAGAAATCCTGCCTCATACAAAGTTGTTGTTGGCGATCATAATCGAAACACCAACGAGGGAACCGAGGAAGAGGTTGGGGCTCAAAGAATCATTAGCCATCCATCATACAACAGACCCAGCCCCATCAACAATGACATAGCCTTGATTAAACTGTCCAGACCAGTAAAGCTTTCTCAAAGGGTGAATCCCATATGTTTGCCATCATACGACTCAGATGTACCTACTGGATCAAAATGTTACATAACGGGTCAGTCCACCTTTCCCCGTGATATACAGATTTAGCTTAGCCTAAAAGCGAAATTCCAAGTTTGAATTCCTTCGAGATTCAAATCGGTGTGTTAAGACATAATTAGACGGGACCAGTGCTAGGATAGGTGACTTTCAAAATTTTCTGTAATGTGTAGTTTTGGTTTTATTTATTTATTTATTTTTTTCAAATTTAGCATAATTAAGATTTGAGGTACATTATCGATTAAAATAAATGATAATCAAAGATCTTTAGCTTCTCAAATAACGCTTAAAAAGTCACATTTCGCTACGTCTGCATAGTAAATTAACTAACTTCAGAACATGTTGGCCATAGGAAAGGGGGATCAATATCAGTACCTGGGCCACTGTCCACCTACCCCTCCCCTAACCCAACATTAACCCTAACTTGTTATCAATTGACTGTTGTTGAGTTAGGGGAGGGGCAGGTGAACAGTTGCCCAGATACGGATATTGATCCGGCAAGGATTCGCACATACCATCGGTTTGTTTGCAAACGGAATGGAAAGCTCTACAAATTAAAGATGACAGCATAGATTATAAATCAGCGTTCATTCTAAGGACACTAAATGCATCAGTATGCAGTTCGAAAATTCTATTTCACTTTCAACTTTCTAGCATCCAACCGCTATCTAGCTTTTAACGGCAGAACGCGGACCCATTCATCTGACTAAAGATATTTTAGAAACAAACTAAGGTCCAGGTTTTATCCTTGGCCTAGGAGACAAACATCACGTTGATTATCAATAGTAGAAGAGTAGAAAATTTCCTTTGAGAAAACCGCCATGTTGGACGACGAAATTACAAAAAAGGATCATAAAACTATAATGCTGATATATAAAATTCATCAGTTCTGGCTTGTTTTTGAAAGAAGAAAGGAGTCCTGCAAGCTTTTTTATCTCATTACTCTACAAATTGTACCAGTGGTTGCCAAGGTAATACTTCAATTGCTTCGTTGGTCGATCGCTTCAAGTGCCGAGTATTTTTTGTCAGAGTAATTTGAAATTATCAACGTACTGAGTTTTTAACGTAAATTGGCCACCGTTTAGAGTTTCAAAGCTTGCGTTTCGAGTGCAAGCCCTTCGTCAGCGCCCTTCGCCCTTTCGCTCTGATGAAGGGCTAAAGCTCTAAACTCTCAACGGTGGCGAATTTACGTTATCAACTCAGTTGATAGAACTAAGTTAATTTGGTATCTTCTCCCACTGATGCAGCACCATAGTCTCTTCAGAAACTTACCCCCTTTATTAATTTGTTGATAGGTTGGGGAAAAATAAAACATCCGGGAAGTTCGTATCACATCTTACAACAGGCCATGATGCCACCGATCGACAACAATAAATGCAAACAAAAGATCAGCCAGGCAGGAGGTACTTTGTTGAAATTAACATAAGGTAGAAAAGTTTTAATCAAAAGATGAAAGATCTTTGCAGTTAGATACACAAATTGTATAACAATAGAAAAAATCATGAAAATGTATGTTTAGCCGGGATTTGTGTGGATTTGAGTCCGCATGTCCCTCCCGCCATATCGGTATCGATGTATTTCACCTCTCAAAACTGCCATTCCGCAGTTAAAAATATATTATCACTATTATTATCATTATTACTACTATTTTAGGCTTTTATAAATCGATAAGTTTTTATTGATCTCTGTTACGATATCTGTTAACCGACAGAAAGAACTATACTCCTGCAAACTCAACTACTTTATTAAACATCATGCCATGAGCTAATTCTTACAAAGAAGCGACTCCTATAACCAATACCAACAATAACGTACCTCGAAAACCTTACTTGAGTCCATTACAGACAATAACTTATTTTAGCACCGACGCAAATTCCCTGTTATCTCTAAATCTCCTTGAATTGAACAATCCATGAGTATCCATGTCACCATGACTTAGCATTTTAGAAATCTCCCTCTCCATAAACATATCTCGTTACCTACCTATGAGATTATATTAGAGAAATGGTTTGACGTTCTCAAAGCTCGCTAAGTCAACAAGAAGATGTATTGTCATGGTAACAATATGCAGAAAAACAAAAATTGATTACTTTTTTTCATTTTGAACCTCACTTAAGTGTCAATACCCTTTACTCGCGAGATGCTTTGTGCGGGCGTGGAGAATACCATTCTGAGTGGTTGTCATGGTGACAGTGGAGGTCCTTATGTGTGTCTGAACTCAGACAAGAAAACTTACACCTTGCATGGCGCTGTCAGTTGGGGGTCTGGACAGTGTAATGCCAAGATGATTTTCACCGTATTTGCCCGAGTGACAAGATTCCGAGCTTGGATCAAACAGCACACTAATTTGGATGGAGGAGGTTTGTAACAATTATAAAATCATTTTATTCTTTTAAACAATTTCAAACGATGTTTGATTCCATTATCATTATCGTTATTATCATCATTATCCTCATCATCATCATTTTTATTCTCATCGTCATCATTATGATCATTACCATTGCTATTATTATAATCATTAACATAATCATTATTGTATCATTCATTATTATTATTATCATTATTTTTGTCATTCATACAAAAATGCCTGCTGATGGGACTAGTATATGCCAGGTGAGAAATAGCTCACCTAGGATTACACTAAAAAATGCGAATGTGGAAGCGATCTTCGCAGTGCGGAACAGTACTTAAGCAGTAGTGAAAACAGAGCCTGAAAAAAAATTAGGCCTGTATGAGATTTGAACTACTGCTTAGGTAGTGTTCATTACTGCGAAGATCGCTTCCATATTTATTGTATGACTTTCATATATTTACATTCACTGAAAGATATATTAGAATTCTCCTCACATTTCCTATCTTAAAAAAGAGTTCTGTTATTGTAGCAACTCGGTGCGAAAGGATTTTAAATGTACCATGCTCACCAAAGTTAGTGATTTGTTTGATTGCACATTTTCGTAATTGGCTAACCCTGATCAATAGTAAAGCTCAATTAAATCAAAATTGTTATAAAACTATTTAAGTCACTTTAATGATAGATATAAAGATGAGGCAATATCAACCTTGGGTGTGTTTGCATTGATAGGAGGAACACCACCTCCGCCACCGACACCACCGGTGCCAACAACCGCTGGGAACGCTGGTAAGGGCGATGATTCACAATGAATTTGTTGGAATTAACAGTTAGCTGAGCTTCAGGAGAGGGTCTCAATGAGATTGGACGATAGCCGTAAAACGTCCTAAAAACGTAACCGCTAGGTGTCAAAATTGGCAAATTTAAACCTTAAGTCGTTGAAAAAGGTAACCGTAAGTAGAAATTTCCGGTGACGACAATGAATGGTGTAAACCGTTAGCCATAAAAATGGCTAAAATTTTAACCTTTAGCCATGAAAACCCATTACCCTATTGAGACCCTCTTAGTACAGTCAAGAAAATCGACACAGCAAAATTAAACAGCCTCAGTTTGTTATCATATCAGAGCATTTTTGGAACATTTTCACGACTTAAAAAAATCATGAGAGGAAATGTACATTCTATATGTAGCAGTGGGTCTCGTAGGAAACCACGGTACACAGATTCGATCGGATTTCAGAGCCTCTATTCCACAGATGAGCGCGTGTTGGTTCCGCTAACTCCTCAGCTTCGTACAACAGTTGCTTTTGAAAAACACTGTCGACCAAAACCACAAGGTTTTTTATGCCATTAGGGGGCACAATTATATGATAACACCGTACCTTAAAAGCTTGTCCTTTGGTGACGCTCACGTAGCGCTGGTAACTAGCATAACGAGACTCCACTACATAAAAAAAATTGTAGCCTTTGTTGCCTTTGTAAGGATGAGGCGATATTTTATGGTCCATCTCATTTTTATTGTTATCTTTATTCATTTTATGGTAGTGTAAAGTTTATTTTACCATTGTGGTTTGTCTCCAACAGTGTTCTCGTGCGACTTTGATCAAAATTTGTGTGGATTTGTTCAATCAAAAAATGACAAGTTTGACTGGACTGTTAGATCAGGAAGTACACCTTCTTCTTCTACTGGGCCAAGTGCAGATGCCTCTGGAAATGGTAAATAACTTTATTTGAAATACTTTTATGTTTGTGCATTTTCAACTTTCGATAAGACAACACTGCTTCCTCTTCAATCAGACAAAGGTTCTCTTCAACATATGCGTCGCTCATTTACATAATGACACAATTTGAATGGGTCTGAGGAATCTCGGCAATGCTATTGAATATTACGAGTTTTTACCGAAAAGTGAGCCATTGCCTTCAATCATCATGGTACAATGTAAATTTTGCTGCATTGAAAATATTTCGTTACTAGATCGCGATCCATACCAGCCTTACGGCGAGCTCTATAAATACGTCTTTCGGAAAATGAATTATCAATCTTCATTGCCCTGCTCATTTTAATCAATCTCTACAGGAAAATATGCATATATCGAGACTTCTTCTCCAAGAGTACAAGGGGACAATGCTAAGCTTGTAAAAGACGGTTTGTCCTTCAAAACGAAGAAATGTTTGTCGTTCTACTATCACATGAACGGAAATACCATGGGAACATTAAACGTGTTTGTGGGGCAAAGGAAAATATTTTCTAAGTCAGGAAATCAAGGAGATCAGTGGAAAAAAGCATCAATCGATGTAACTGACGCTGGAGCATCAGAGGTGGGGTCGAAATAAAAAAAATTGTCTTCTCACTTGTTTGTAAAACACCTAATATTTTAATAAAGTAAAATTAAGCGGGTTAAAAAATTCTAAGAAGCTGATACAGAAAGTTTTTAGTCTTTCAATAATTTGTTCATTCATCGGTCATGCTATGGTGTGGGAAGGGAGGCTAGTGTCAAAGGGAATTCAAAGGTCAGGAATACGCAAACTACTTTTAAACGAGCATAGATGGAGCTTTCAGAATGTAGAGAAACTTCGACGTTTTTATATAACCTTTCAGCTCACCTTAACCCATAGAAATTACTAAAATAAAGGGCGTGGCTTCTTGTATCACCATGTAACATATTTTAGTGACGCGATCAAACGCCGCGGAGTAAGTAAAACTTTCAGTGTTGTCGAAACGGCGTTTATTCATGGGCGGCGCTAATTTCAATATCACAATTCTTGAGGAAGCAAAAAACGGGTTTCACGTCGCGCCAAATGTTTCGGATTATAAAATTAGGAAATGTCTCAGCACGGAAGTTTTTGTTTGGGTGATTACACAACTATGCGTTGGAGCTTTATTATTGGAACAAGGCATTGATCGTGAAGTATCTGATGTACCAGGCTCCGTCGCACATTTTTTTGACGCAAGTATGAGTATAAATTTCACATCATAAAAGACAATGGGAAAAGTATGCAAGAAAATCAGTAATAAGAGCAAAGCATTTTTGAAGCTAAAATCTGCACTTTGACTGAGACTAAAGCCGCACTTAGAGCTCAGATGAAGAGCAAAATAACTCAGTCACAATTCAAGTTTGATGAACACCTTGATATACAGATACCTTTCTTTTCAGTTGATATTCGAGGGCATACGTGGAAGTAGTTTTAGAGGAGATGCAGCCATTGACAACGTGGTGCTGATGGAATGTGGCGGTGGCGGCGGCGGCGGCGGAGGAGGAGGAGGAGGTGGTGGCTGTGGTGAGTCAGTTACAGAAGAAGTATTATACAGAAACCATACAACCTCGAGATTCTCATCCCGTGATAGTTGATGAAGGTGAAACCCAATCGACCATCACGCATAGAAATTGAGAACCATTTTTTTTGAAACATAGATCTATTAGTCGATCAAAACTTAACAACAAGAAAAGTCATGTTTTCAGTTTATTTTGTTAACAATCGAGAACTGTCAGGCCACTCGATCGACGAGTCGATGTCGAGTACCTTAGTTTATCAGGTTGCAGCATTGGTGATAGAACACTCGCGTTATCAAATTTTCTTAAAATTTGATAACGCTGCCATTTTGATTCTTTCTTAGCAGCCTAATTACTTGCCTGAGACGCAACCAAAGCTCACCATTCCTTTTTCCATCTCTTGGCCATCAGTTTGCTGGACCCGAAGAATTGACAAGCAAATTGTTTCCTTGCAATCCCTAATTTTTGGCTTTAATTTCTGGCATTATTTCGTTATCTATTCATTCATTTCATTTCTCTCAGGATCTTCACCCCCTCCAATAACAGCTGCGACCCCTCCCGCAATTGGTAAGTGTTTTTTTCTCATATTAGTAAAAACATTTAGGAAGACACCAAAACACCCAACACTTCTTCCGTACAGTTTTTTTTCTCGATGCATTAAGATCTTAGCTTTTGCATTGACAGTAACCGTTTCTCCGTAACACTGGTGAGTCTCAGTAAAACCCATGGAAAATTCATTTGATTTGATTGATGTTCCCCTTTTCCCTCCTACAAACAATAAGTCAATTTGGTTTTCTACAACTGGGTTGATAATGAAATGACCGCCGTCGAGAATTTCTTAAGCGGACTTTTCGAGCGTCAGCCCTTTGTCAGAGCAAAAGCTCAAACAACCGAAGGTAAAAGCGTGGAGATCATCTGCAAGGCAATGGAGGCAAAACTGCGAAGATATTATGCCTACAGTTCTTTCAATGTTTTGTGAATTGTAAAAGAAAAATCCCGCACAGTTTTGTCTTTTCGCGTTCTGGGTGTTTGGCTATCTGGTTTTACAACCTATCACAAAGGGCGTAATAAGATCAAAAACAACAAAAACATAAGCAACGACAACAATAACAACAGCAACAACCACGACAACGAAAATTACTTATTGTTTATAGAAATTTTAATTTCCGATGATTTCCTTAATTAATTTACAGAACTTTCTGGATACATGTATTTATTTGCATTCAGAGGCACAGCCAGCGTTTTTTCGACTTATTGTGGGTCTGTCCCTAAAGAAAGTTCAATGTTTGTTTCAACATTTGCAAGAGTCGTATCATAAAAGTCAAGCGCGTGGGAAAAATTTTTGCCGGGCCTGCAGGCCTATCATGAGCCAGGCTAACTACACCACTGGCATTTTATCTTTCTCGCTGAATATTGCGCTATATTCTTATGATGGCGACGAAGCAGCACCAAAGTAAGCGAGCTTTATGCACCTAAAAGTCATCTGATCTTGTGCTCTTACATATTATATATTCAACCAAGTTTGTTGGTTTTCCTTTTCCCTTCAGCAACAACAACTGCTCCACCTGCACCACCATCAGGTATGCTGGTTTTGTTCTCACCAGCTAGGAAATATATTAAGGAAAGTAGAACTATGTTGGTGTAGAGCTAAACAAGACTTCGCATGTCAGGGAGAGACAGCAACATTAAGCAATATGTATTCAGCTGGAACTTTCGGAACCTTTTAAAAGGACCAGCACCCAGTGAAACCGGGCTGCAAATGGTTAACCTTTAGATGTATTGTGTACCACAAGCTGACAAAACCGCAATTTCGATTGCGTGGTCATCATAATTTTCTATTCATTATTTAAGCCCAAAAACTAGAGATAATTTGGGCTATTGGGATAATTTTTTGTTTTCAAAACCATATTGTTTTGGAAAAACTTAATTTGCTATAGTTTATGTTATTATTTCAAGCTCTGTCCAAAAATACTTTTTGCCCTGCCTTTTGCCCTGTATCCTCCATTGCCTTCAAATTGCTCCCAGATGTAAAAATGGTTTAAACTCTAGATTCATACTTGAGATCCCAACGTAACTCGAACAAGTGATTTCGTTCTATTTTTCCGTCTTAAGGAATTAAAAAAGGAATGTTTAGGGCGGGTCATGTATTATTGCGGTGTCGCAGTCTAATAATTACTATTTTTGTTTAAAAAGAGTCGAAAAAATCTAATAAGTATCAATTTTTTTCTACTTTAGCATTTAGTTGTGACTTTGAACTACCGAAAATATGCGGCTTTGTACAGAGAACAAATGATGATTTCGACTGGACACGTCGCAAAGGATCCACCTCATCCAGCAATACGGGGCCCAGCGGTGACCACACCAGTGGCAATGGTTTGTAGAGTTCTTAATAAATCTTTTCCTTCCTTTTTTGCGACCTTAAGTGCCAGCTCAGATTTAGTCATCAATTCTTATGCTAAATATTCAGATAAATTAGTAAATAAAACTAGTTAGGAACGAAATAGTGCAAATATCAAGGGAGTAACTAAGAATTGCAAGAAAAACTTCACAAACGGTGGACTTTGCCTTTTACAAAGCTCACGAAGGTTGCTAAAGCACTCACTTACGACAACCTGGAGAAATGGCAAGCAGGCAAGCCATATATGTGATGTAATGATCAACTCCTTCCACCATTTTCTTGGAATTGACACTGATTTCCCCTTTTTTTGCTTGTTTGTAGGTTACTACATGTACATAGAGACATCAAGTCCTCGAAGGATCGGAGATCAAGCGGGCCTGGACAGTCCTAAACTGGTCTTCAAGGGCACCATGTGTCTTCAGTTTTACTACCATATGTATGGTAAAACTATTGCTTCACTTCAAGTGGTGATAAATAATAAAATTGTCTTTAATGAACTTGGGGAGAAAGGCAATAAGTGGCTCAAAGCAGCGGTTGATGTCAATCTCTCGGGAATGTACGAGGTAATTAAACAAAATCTTTGGGTATTTCGTTTGTAAACCAAAAAGAGAATCAAACACATTTATTGTTTTTCATCTTATTGTTTGAGGTGTTTTCAGTGAACTAGCTTATCTTTCATAAAACTCTTAGATAAGATTTAACGCGAAAAGAGGCTCCAGCTACACTGGCGACATCGCAATCGATGATTTCACACTTTCACCGGGAGGTTGTTCCTCAGGTATGTACAGCCTAAATTCCAGCAAAGTATCATTTCAAAATTAATCAATGAGCAGGTGTTTAAACTACCCTATAGAAAAAAAAAATTAGATAAAAGCTTGAGAGATTTTTATCGGAGAATGTTGTACTTAGATGGAGAGCCTGTCATAAGTGTCAGTTTTGCATCTACAATAGTCCAGAAAAAAGTTCAAAGGACCAACTTGGAAAAAAAACTAGTTAACGAAAGACTTCTCAAGTCTTTTTTTATAAAGCGCCTGTGCCCTGATAAAGAAGAGAGGGGAGATGGCGGGGGGGGTGTGGGGGGATTAAGAGGCCCCTGATCCCGCAATACTCTCGCGTCTCAGTCGTTTATGTTCTGAAAAATGCCTTTTTATGCCATTAGCAATTTAAAATGTTACATCTCTTCATGTATTAATCTGCTTGCATTTAGCCATCGCTTACGCTTGCATTGAAACAGAAACTTGTATTTAGGAAATTGTACGGATTGCATCAAATGGTTAAAGAAAATAATTTGAATTTCAAATAATTTACTCTGTATCTGTTGGTTAACATTAATTATTTGCTGTTCCTTTTTCATTTCTTTCCCAGTAACTCAACCGCCTCCGACAACATCCGCTCCCCCACCTCCACCCGGTGAGAACTTGTTTCATCTTTGCTTTTGTTATAGTCATAGCTATTGCTGTGTCTTCTTTTTACTCTTACTGACTACTACTAATGGTTCGTATAAAAACACGTTTTAGAAGATATATCGATTTAACGATAAGTGACACTCATGAAGTGTTTTCAGAAATACAAAGTTACAATGACAAAAAAACGAGGGCCGGGATTAGCCGCTAAAACCATCAAAGGTGCAAACAAAATCTTCAACTACATGGACTTGTCTGGAAAACACCTGACGTCCTAGAAATCAGTCTGATGTGAAACGAACATAAAACGATACGTTAATTTGCTATTGTCTCTCGCTTTTTCGCGCTTCTGGCAGATTACTTGCATTTACTTGAGTTCTCGTTCATTTCTTACTTTCATTTTACATCAAATGTTTTTTTTTCGGTTGTGGGTGAAACTCT